CCAACAGATGGAGGCAGACACAGGAGACACAGGCGAGTGCGTCAGGAGATCCACAGGCTAGCCCGTCTGTGTCCTAACTGTTCAGCCGGTACTTGCCATCCTGTTTTACACTTCTGGCCTTTATACAAGTATGTTGGCCCACATGGATGAGAAGGGAAGGGACTGGTGTTTGCTGTGCTCCTGCTATGATCAACGCACTTCGTGACAAAGAGGTGAGGGACGGCCAGCTGAGTGATCAGGAAGCAGAGGCTGCAGAAAGGGGATCAAGCAAGAACCAAGGGAGTGGGGCATCAGCCTCCAGAAGTTCCCTTTCCAAAGAGACTTTTCTCATCTTTCTAATGTCGTATCAGGGCTTGTCACTTGAGGGACTGTGTTTTCAGGCAGATAGGTCTCTCTGATAAATATACTAATTATAATTTTATCAAAAATAGGTCTGAAATTAGCCAGGCATTGTGGCTCACACCTGTAATCCTAGCACTCTGGGAGGCCGAGGAGGGAGAATGACTCAAGGTCAAAAGTTCTAAACCAGCCTGAGTAAGAGCGAGACCCCGTCTCTACTAAAAACAGAAAGAAATTAATTGGCCAACTAAAAATATATAGAAAAAAAAATTAGCCGGGCATGGTGGCTCACGCCTGTAGTCCCAGCTACTTGGGAGGCTGAGGCAGGAGGATTGCTTGAGCCCAGGAATTTGAGGTTGCTGTGAGCTGGGCTGACGCCACTGCACGCTAGCCCGGGGCAACAGAGCAAGACTCTGTCTCAAAAAAAAAAAGACCTGAAATTAAATGCTGCTATTTTAATTACCAAAACTATCCCAAAGGATAATCATAAGTTGACTGAATGATGGGAATAGTGTTCTATAATGAATAAGCCACTAAAAAAAGGATAATGAAATATCATGTATATTTGTCTTTGTGAATCAAACAGTTCTTTATCATTGTTGTTTAATAATAAAATATGTATCTTGCTATGTTTCTGGGGAAGAATTAGAGAATATGCTGGAGCAATGGGATGGTTTTGACTATCCTGTGCTGAATCTTCTTGTTTTATTTTTGTTTTGGCCCGAGCTAGAGTGCAGTGGCATCATCACAGTTCGCTACAACCTCACACTCCTGGGCTCAAGCGATCCTCCTGCCTCAGCCGGGACTACAGGCATGTACCATCCATGCCTGACTAATTTTCCTATTTTTTGTAGAGACAGGGTCTTGCTATTTTGGTCAGGCTGGTCTCCAACTCCTGGCCTCAAACAATCCTCTTGTCTTGCCCTCCCAGAGTGCTAGGATTACAGGCATGAGCCACCATACCTGCCCCCTGCTGAATCTTGATCATTCACATGCAGTAGTAATGTATTCTGCACACGGCATTTTCAGAGGAAAGAAGATAAAGAGATATATAGGTTGAGTATCCCTTATCTGAAATGCTTAAGACCAGAAGTGTTTCAGATTTTGGATTTTCTCAGATTTTAGAATATTTGCATAATACATATCTTATACATAATAGGATATTCTGGGGATAGGACCCAAGCTTAAGCATGAAATTTATTTATATTTTATATATACCTTATGTGCATAAATTTAAGGTAATTTTATACAATATTTTTAAAAATTTTGTGTATAAAACAAAGGTTCGACTGCATTTTGACCGTATCCTTTTACATGAAATTTTTCACTTGTGGCATCATGATGATGCTCGAAGAGTTTCAGAGTTTGGAGCATTTTGAATTTCAGATGTTCAGATAGGGATGTCCAGCCTGTGTTACAGTGATTGAGGGCAAGGGAAGGAGTGACTGAGCATCCTGACAAACATGGAGAGGAAGTCACAGGATTTACAGGAAATAATCATGATTGACCGGGAGCCAGTTAAGATACTTTTGTGTGCATGTGAAGCTGATTGATAAATTGTGGTCAGTCTAGATCCCATTTCCTTTTTCTTGCTGCGGCTGACCTCCAGGAATCATCAGAGCTGTAATTTCCTGATATAGCCACCAGGTGGCCTTTAATTCCCTTGGGTACACATGGGACAAGTCTAACTGGCCAGTTGGCCTGCCCTGGGTGCCAAAGAGGGGAGCATCAGTAATTAATCCTATCCTGGGTATTCTTTGCTCTACCCGTACTGACCTACTACTGTGCCCATCTGGTCCTCCTTGTTCTGTTGTAATGCCTGCCAGATGGGTAGGCTCTCTTCTGTGAATTTAAACATCCATTCATGCAAAACCTAATGAACACTTCATTGTAAACTATTTCTGCTTCTCTACATTTATTTTTCTACCTTTGACAATGTCTCTGCATAGATTTAATAAAATTGTAACAAATGTTGATCTATTATTTGATGTTTTGCCTTTAATTCAATGTTATTTCACATGTTAGTATAGTCTACATACTTATATTCTAGAAAGTAAAATAATGTTTTATTTTGCTTCCTACTTTTTCATTAGTAGAAGTTGAATTGATATAAGCATGGGAGTTTTAGACCCAAAGTAGAATTAGAGGATCAAAGAATGATTTTGCAATTATTGTCGTATATTCCCAAGGTGCTTTACAGAAAAGAAATTACTTTCAACTGCCACTTTTCCCTAGAGCCTCTCACCCCCAACAAACAAACAAGTTGCTGGCGCTGGTATCTTGATAAATTGTAAGGTGCCTCCCTCACCCTCTCCTCTTTTTTTTTTTTTTTTCTGAGACGGAGTCCGGGCCAGAGTGCCGTGGCGTCAGCCTAGCTCACAGCAACCTCAAACTCCTGGGCTCAAGCGATCCTCCTGCCTCAGCCTCCCGAGTAGCTGGGACTACAGGCATGTGCCACCATGCCCCACTAATTTTTTCTAGCTATTTTTAGTGGTCCAATTAATTTCTTTCTATTTTTAGTAGAGACAGGGTCTCGTTCTTGCTCTGGCTGGTTTTGAACTCCTGACCTTGAGCAATCCGCCCGCCTCGGCCTCCCAGAGTGCTAGGAGGCCTCCCAGAGTGCTAGGATTACAGGCGTGAGCCACCGAGCTGGCCTCACCCTCCCCTCTTATTGTGCCACTTGTCTCCTTTTCTATTCAACTGACATGTAAATGTGCTCCTTTTAAAAGAGTAGATAGGATGGGAATGTTAATGTAATCATGCAGGTTTGTACAGCTGTGTTTGGGAAAAGCTCTGTTTTCTTTTTTTGAGACAGAGTCTCACTTTGTTGCCAAGGTTAGACAGGCTAGAGTGAGTGCTGTGGTGTCAGCCTAGCTCACAGCAACCTCAAACTCCTGGGCTCAAGCAATCCTCCTGCCTCAGCCTCCCAAGTAGCTGGGACTACAGGCATGTGCCACCATGCCTGGCTAATTTTTTCTCTCTATATATTAGTTGGCCAATTAGTTTTTTTCTATTTATAGTAGAGACAGGGGTCTGGCTCTTGCTCAGGCTGGTTTTGAACTCCTGACCTCGAGCAATCCACCCGCCTTGGCCTCCCAGAGTGCTAGGATTACAGGCGTGAGCCACTGCGCCCGGCCAAAAAGCTCTGGTTTTATCAGTCTCAGAAAGGGCTGCCTGGGATCTGCTTGGGGAACGGTGAGTAGTAGCTCGGTTTGGGTGGCAGAGCTGCAAAGGGGAACCGGGAGACATACCATGTGTGTAATAATTTTCGGTGAGACCACGCAGGACTTGATATTAGGCAAAATGCTTTGGACATTTTTTTTTTCCAGATGGCAATCAGATTCCTTTAAGGACACATCTGATCTGTGCTAGGAAGATCATTCTGGCAGTTGTGTGATAATGAATCCGATCCTCACGCCTTGGGATGCTTTAGAAGGTCCTTGAGGCCAGAGATATTCACTGGTAGCCACTGTGTATCACTGTCACCCTCTTAAGAAGAGCAGAACTCATGCTTGGTAGTTTCTCCATGTCTCCCAAGCTGAGAAAGTAGAAGGGGTGGGAGGTTTTCTAGAAGCAGGGAAGGGGGCTTGAGCCGGGAAGGGGTTGCGGCAGGAGGCTACGGGATGTGTCATGGGCTGGGCAGGCAGCCTGAGAGAGGAAGCGAAGCACACCCGGGAAGCTGACAGATGCAAAACAGCTTCAAAGGGTGAGCTGGGGATGGGACTGGAGGCTCCGGAGACCAGTGGCCTGCAGTGTTCAGTCTGAGGTGCGCCTAGACAAGGGCTCACTTGAGCAATCTGAGGCTTTGTCTGTAGCCGTTTGCTCACACCTGTGTGCATGAGTGGTGGCAGCCACTGTGGTCGATATCCCAAGCACTCAAATTTGGGTCCTGACGCACAGATAATGTAAAAATGGTAAAGCAGGGGCAAGAGAGAAAATGTATGTATGTATAGGTGCATGTGTTATGTACTAATGTACTTTTTAAGGAAAAAAATCAGATATTTTTGTGGGCAATGAAATACCTAAAAATTATTCCCAAGCAAGGCCTTTATGAACACTATCATTGTAACAGGTGGGAGTCTAAGCATCCTGATGTGTAAGGGCTTCTTTATTATGGGGGGGGAGTCACTGATGGGAATCCAGTGGGTCACACACAGGACCCCAAGTAGTACCTCTAAAGGGTCCTTGAGCTACAGGCTCAGCTCAGTCCTTGGATTTTTAGGTCCAGGAGCTGGATTTTCTTCATCCAACTGGGGACAGACTCTTGCCTCCTAAGCTGACAACAGACTGATGTGTTCATTAGAATTCCAGCCGAGTGAGGTGCAGGGAGTTCCCCTTCCAGCAACCGGAATGCCTGGGTTGCCAGTCTCTGCCCTTAGGAGGAGCGTTGGTGTCCTTTCTAGTGGAAGGGCTCTCGGGTGACTGCAGTATTCATCAGAAAGCTCTTTCCCAAGCACAACTCAGGCAAGGAAAGCGTTGCAGCTGTGGGGTATGCTTCACCTATGTCTCTGTGAAGCCTGATGAGAAATCCCTCCTTCTCAGCAGAGGACGCTTCTCCAGTGACAGGGCTGTTGGTCCAGTGACCCCAGCTGCAGGGTCTTGGACAGGGCTAGATGCTTTTGGTGACTTTTGTCTTCCTACACCCATTTTTTTCTTCCTAGATCAGCTCCTCTCTGACGCTTTCTTAGATGGCTTTAGTGTCACTGATTAATACTACAATCAAGAGCCATTTCTGTTGGCCTGGCAGATGAAGCAGAGTCAAATTTTCCAGAATTTGAGGGGCGGATTCCTGTCTGAGCTAATACTGTTTATTATATCAGCAGTTTGGGAAAGATTTCGGCTTCTCTGAATTTTTCCCAAGTTGGCTAGTCTGCTATGTGTGTTGGTAAATCAACATGACCCCCTTTCTCGGCAGCCCTGACGACTTTCTTCTCTACAGCTATAGGTAAGGAGGGTGAGTCACATACGGGGAACATTCTATAGTCTACACAAACTCCTACAACACACCTTATATTCCCTTTGTTGATTTCTAATCACTTCATTCACAAAAGGAGTAGGTAGCTTTGCCACAAAGAGTGGGCCATGTTGCCCTTGGCCACTGTTTCCGTTGTGAGTCTTTAGCTCACATTTTTGTGGTCCTTCTCAGGGATCCTCATTAACTCCTAACTTTGATGCCACTTCCAAGAACTATAATGATGCAAATGTGTGCGTGTGTGTGTGTGTGTGTGTGTGTGTGCGTGTGTGTGTGTGTGTTCCCTAAGAAAATCGCACGGTGGAGAACCCCTGTCAGCCCCACTGCAACCTGCCCCCCACCCAGGCACCAGAGAGTGAACCTGCCATGCTGCAATATTTGGACGCTGAGGCAGAAGATCTTCCAAGTGGAAATCCAGGAAGGCGGAAGTAAACACAGATCAGAGTGAATGAATGTCTTCGGGGTGTTGGCAGGGTGATACATGGTGAGGACCAGATAGGATGAATCGTGTCAAGAAACGTAACACATGGGTGGAGGTGGGAGGTAATGTCACAATGCATGCACTTGTTTTAGAATTAACATATTAGTATTGATCCACAGTGATGTAAGCAAACCATTTGACTTTGCTTTTCTGGAAAATAAACATGGAAAATCCCATGGAATCATAACGTTGGGGTAAGAGATTAAGGGCTATTGACCCAAAGGAAACAGTGCTGACCTGTCTCCTCTGTAACATATCACTCTCCAGCCACCAAGCCCTCAGGATGGTCAGAATGACGTAGCAGAAAGGGTGGGATTTGAAGTCCAGCAAACCTGGTTTTTAATTACAGCTCCTCCACTTACTTGGCTCAGATTACTGTTTGAGCATTGTTGTTTGTTTTTTCCCCTCTGTAAAATGAAGATATAATAAATAACTACTTCACAGAGTTGTGAGAATTTAATAAAATGATATTTTAGATGTGTTCAATAAATTGTAAGCACTTGATAAATGAAGCCCTTGTTATTTGGAAGAGTGGACAATCATTTTGGGTGTTTTAGTCAGCTAGGAGAAAAGTCATTTGACACACCTTAGGGTTTCATCTTTGGTTCTGGCCATTAGAATCTTGGCCAATGGAATCTTATTTTTATTTCCACATTACTGAGGCTAAATTATAACACTGTAATTTTGCTGGAGGCTCAGAAAATATACACATTTTGTTTATGTTGTTTGTTTACAGGTAAGTATAAAATGAAATCTTACACCTTTCTACACAGAAAGTAAGCTCTACATGGTTTTTAGCAGATTATGAACTGTCAGCTGCTGGATACATTAGCTCTGCAGAATCCCACTGGCCATACAACAGTGGGTGACTCTGGGCAAAGGCCTTTGAGATGATATGACCACCAGGGGCAAAGCCACCAGTGGGGCCCATGCGGGTATATGATATTTTAAGAGCTATTGATTATCATCTGTACTTCTTTGTGTGTGCTTCTCACCCCTTTATATAATACAAATAACAGTTGGCTTCTATAACTTAGTATTTTATGACAAAGGACAATGGTATATAGGACAAAGAATATGAATTAATGATTATGGTCCATGGCTCTATGATTAGTCTATCTAAGTACCATTGATACTATGATAGTATAAATGTTGGTTCAAGGACCACATAAATGACACGTTTCCCCTCCACACTTGCCTTTTCCTGCTAATGACCCTTGGGTCTGAAACCTTGGTGTCCTTTTGGGCTCTTCCCTCCTTCTCTCCTTCACATCCAAAATGTGCTGTCACTGCGAAATCTATCTGTGCAGTGTTTCTCTCTCTTTCTTACCTGCACAACATGTGGTTTTCCCCCAAAGCAGAGCCTGGTACAAGGATTTGGATGCAGGGCACCTACATGAGCAGCCTAGGTTGGGCCCTCTTGCCTGAATGTATTAGTGTGGTTGTTATAAACAACAGACATTTACTTCCCACAGTTCTGGAGTCTAGGAAGTCGAATGTCAAGGCACAGGCAGGTTTCGGGTTTAGTGAGGGCCTGGTCTTTCTGCTTCCAAGGTGGTGCCTTATTGCTGCATCATCTGGGCGGGACAGACGCTGTGTCCTTACATGGCGCAAGGAGGGAAGCAAAGGGGCTAACACTAGTTCCTCTAGCCTTTTAATTTTTATTTATTTATTTATTTTGAGACAGAGTCTCACTCTGTTGCCCAGGCTAGAGTGAGTGCTGTGACGTCATCCTAGCTCACAGCAACCTCAAACTCCTGGGCTCAAGCGATTCTCCTGCCTCAGCCTCCCGAGTAGCTGGGACTACAGGCATGCGCCACCATGCCCGGCTAATTTTTTCTCTATATATTAGTTGGCCAATTAATTTCTTTCTATTTTTAGTAGAGACGGGGTCTCACTCTTGCTCAGGCTGGTTTCGAACTCTTGACCTCAAGCAATCCGCCCACCTCAGCCTCCCAGAGTGCTAGGATTACAGGCGTGAGCCACCGTGCCCGGTCCCTCTAGCCTTTTTAGAAGGTCACAAATCCTGTTCATGAAGGTCCTGTCTTCATGACTCAATCACGTCCTAAAGACCTCATCTCTTAATACTATCACATCGGCGACTTAGTTTCAACATACGAATTTGAGGGGACACATGCAGATAATAGCAGATTGTTTGAGGCAAAACTAGACAGCTCTTTGCTTGAAGAATGAAGAATCCAAAGAAGATTGTGGGGATCTGGGCCTCTGAGCCAGGGGAGACGAGGATCAGGACAGAGAGAGCCAGACTTTCCCAGAGAGTTTGCTTTATCTAATCAACACCAACAGCAAGAGGTTCTGGGTGTGGGAAGGGCCTGACTCTGATATTGTGTAAGAGTAATTGCTGCTACCCCTTTTGGAGGGCTTACTGTGGGCCGGCTTCTGGGCTAAATGTTCCACATCCACTATCTCCCTTAATTCTCATAGTAACCTACAGCTAAGTATTGATTTCCTATTTTACAGGTGAGGAAACTGAGGCTTCCAGAGATTAAATAAATTGTCTAATGCCACACAGCTTTTAAGTGGCAGAGGCGGCTTTCAGCGCAGTTCTGTGTGGTTTTAGCCATTAGACTCGATTTCTTTTCAGGGACTGAAGTTCTTGAACACCAAGCGGGCTTTATTTCAGGGGCATAGTTAGGTGAATCCAGTCTGTTCCTAAACAAACTAAGTTTCCCCTGCTTGTGTTTGAGAAGCATTTATTAACAGAGATTCAGCAGGTCTTTGACCTCTTGACAGACCAACTCATTGCTGTCCTGCAGTTCTTGGTCCCCAGAAACTAAAATCTTGATAAAGGTTTTATTCCAGCCTGTTGAACAATCCTTCTGTTTATAGCTCTGTACCTGTTTGTCTTTGGAAACTTATTCTCAGACTTACTTAAAATCTATAATTTAGGTGCTAGAATAATCTGAAAAAGGCCACTTACTTTATCTACCAAGATCTGCACCCCCTCATCTTTAGGTTCAACCAGTTTTGGGCTCCCAGGCCTGACTTCACACCTAGGTTCACGTTTAGCTTCAGCACACCCTCAGCCCCCTGTTCCCGGGCTGCGGTCAATAGTGTCTTCTACAAACCCACTCACATACGTCTCTGGAGACGATTGCACCGACTTGCCTGCCCCTTCTAGATGCGGCTGTGAGGCCCCAGCTCATCTTAGCTGGGCTGGGAGCAGCCAGGCTGTCACCTGGTTCACAGGTTCTGTCAGTTAACCTGAAGCTCAAGAAGATACCACTTACTGGTTGCATGTGTGTCCCTCCTGGGGCGTTTAGGTCCCCGTGATGTATTCGGGCCCTACCTTGGGCTGTTGTGCTTCATAATCCTCTTTAGGGTCACCTAGAACTTTTGGTACCCTTGAATTTGGGGAATAAATCTGCTAGTTGATGGACACCTATCCATTTGTGTCCATAGGAAGAGCCAGATAAGCTGACCAAAAGAAACCGCTCCCAGTCCTCATGGAATTCTCAGAGATGCTGAAATCCTTCTTGAGAATTTTTAATGTACATCCCATCCCACTTCAATTTTCGAAGCCTGGGACATCCTGACAAAAGCCACACACTTCAGCACCTGCTGAGGAACCTGCAGAGTTGTAGCTGCTGCTCAGGAGTTTCCCCAAGGTTTCCTGCAGCTTTAGGAGGTGCCATACTTACGGTTAGGAGCTGGGGCTCTCACTTCTAATTCCGGTCAAGATGTAATAATTGGGGCCGGGCACTCACTCTAGCCTGGGCAACAAAGCGAGACTCTGTCTCAAAAAAAAAAATCTATCTGCAAGTGAATGGACACAAAAATTGTGGTATGTGTAAACAATGAAATGCTCCTTTGCAATAATAAAGGACGTGTTACTGATATATGCAATAACGTGGATAAATCTCAAAAAATTATGCTGATTATGGGAAATTTGCTAAGGTAGTAGATTTTTTTTTTTTTAAGACAGAGTCTTGCTCTGTTGCCTGGGTTAGAGTGCCATGGCGTCAGTCTAGCTCACAGCAACCTCAAACTCCTGGGCTCAAGCGATCCTCCTGCCTCAGCCTCCCGAGTAGCTGGGACCACAGGCATGCGCCACCATGCCCGGCTAATTTTCTTCTATATATTTTTAGTTGGCCAATTAATTTCTTTCTATTTTTAGTAGAGATGGGGTCTCACTCTTGCTCAGGCTGGTTTCGAACTCCTGACCTTGAGCTATCTTCCCGCCCCACTCTCCCAGAGTGCTAGGATTAGGGGTGTGCACCCGGCCAAGAGAGTATATCTTAAATGGTCTTACCACACATGTAAAAATGGTAACTATATGAGGTAACTATATTGTGGTAATCATTCACCATATATGTATATCAAAGCATGTTGTATGCCTTCAATATATACACTGTTATTTGTCAGTTATACCTCAATAAAGCTGAGGAAAACCCAAATTTAAAAAGAAAAGATAACAATGTAAGATGTAAACAGATGGAACTTCTGCTTTGCACCATACAAGCGAGATTTCATCTTATTTGTATTACTTTGAAAAATTTTATATAAAATGAGACTGAAAATTGAAATCTCTCTTTGAGAAAAGGATGCTTGATTTTGTATTCATTTAGTTTTTCTGTGCAGGGTGCAAGTATTTCAAATTGTAATTCCCCCAAGAATGCAACAATAACAGCATCAATAAGCTGAGCAAAATAAATCAGACACAAAAGCTACACACTCTTTGATTTTATTCATATGACATTCTGGAACAGGCAGAAGTACACTCTAGTATCAGAAATCAGACCGGTGGTTGCCGTGCAGGGAAGATACATACAAAAGGGCATGAGGGTGAAGGAAATGTTATATAGCTTGATTTGATGGTATTTGCAAAGGTTTACACATTTGTCAAAACTCAAATAACTATACACTTAAGATATATGGCATTACCTTGTACGTAAATTATACCTCAATGAAGTTGATTTAAAAAATAAAGAATGGGCCGGGCGCGGTGGCTCACGCCTGTAATCCCAGCACTCTGGGAGGCCGAGGCGGGCGGATTGCTCGAGGTCAGGAGTTCGAAACCAGCCTGAGCAAGAGCGAGACCCCGTTTCTACTATAAATAGAAAGAAATTAATTGGCCAACTAGTATATATAGAAAAAATTAGCCAGGCATGGTGGCGCATGCCTGTAGTCCCAGCTACTCGGGAGGCTGAGGCAGGAGGATTGCTTGAGCCCAGGAGTTTGAGGTTGCTGTGAGCTAGGCTGACGCCACGGCACTCACTCTAGCCAGGGCAACACAGTGAGACTCTGTCTCAAAAAAATAAAATAAATAAATAAATAAAAATAAAAAATAAAGAATGCAGGCTTTTGCATTAGAGTGACCTGTTACTGCTTCTCACTAATAT